ATTCAACTCATAGTCAAAGCATACCAAACAATGCTATGTGTGGAGTGGCAAACCAGACTCACTTTAGAGAGTGATAGCCTTGCATTTTCTTCAAAAATTCCTTTCCATACCTCTTAACATCCTTTGAATACCAATGAACCCAAGGACTTCTTGTTCTGGTTAAGGGCCTTTATAATGTCATTACTTAATAATTAGTTTTATGTAGTTTAAGGATTTATCCATCTCAAGAGTAATTTTACCATGAATATATTAATCAAAAAAGTAAAACATACTATTCTACACAATTTACTCTGGGCAAGATTTGTGTGTGTGCGTGTGTCTTTAAAATAGAACTACAGAATTTCAGAAACTATCCTGATGCTCAACTCATCCACTATACTTCAGGATTTCCCAAAATGAAATATAAACAAGTATTCTATGGGTAAATAATTCTATCGCTTTCTTTGTGAGTAAATCATCACCCATCAAAAGTAAAACTTCACCTAGGTGCCAGTGGCTCACGCCTGTAATCCTAGCTACTCAGCAGGCTGAGATCTGAGGATCTTGCCAGCCCAGGCAAGAAACTCCGTGAGACTTTCATCTCCAATAAACCACCAGAAAACCGGAAATGGAGCTGTGGCTCAAGTGGTACAGTGTTTGCCTTGAGCTGAAGAGCTGAGGGACAGCGTCCAGGCACAGAGTTCAAGCCCCATGACCAATCAAAAAAAATAAAGTACAACTTCCTCAGAAAAAGCCTAATTTTTCTTAAGACAAACATCCTTCAAGTTCATATGAACTCAAAACCTTTTCATTCCTTAACAACTATTAACCTCATATTTTTAAGAGCACAGCAAGTTGTGCCTTTTCCCATATTTTAACCTCAAAATCAATTATCAGTGATGATATCTAAAATGCAAAAAGCTGGAAATAATTTAACACAGACATAAAAACTATTTTTAACATTCACTTAATGTTCCACATATACAACTAATAACCTTAAATAATTATCATTTTTACTCACTATGTGTGTGCGTGTGTGTGTGTGTGTGTGTGTGTGCGCGCGCGCTGGTTCAGGGGCTTAAATTCAGAGCTAGCCTCAAGTTGAGCAACAGTGCTACTTCTGACTTTTTGGTAGTTAATTGGAGTTGACAGTACCATGGACTTTCCTGCCTGGGCTAGCTTCAAACCATGATCCTTATATCTCAGCCTCCTCAGTAGCTAGGCTTAAAGGCATGAGCGACCAGCACCTGGCGTATTCATGCCTCCACACTGGAACCAATTCAACTTTTGAAATTTTTTTTTAAAACAGTCCTGGGGCTTGAATTCAGGGCCTGGGCACTGTCCCTGAGCTTTCTGGCACAAGGCTAGTGGTGTACAACTTGAACTACAGCTTCATTTTCCAGCTTTTTGGGGTGATTAATTGGCAAAGTCTCACTCTGACTTTCCTGCCTGAGGTGGCTTCAAACTGAAATCCTCAAATCTCAGCCTCCTAAGTAGCTAGGATAACATTCATGAATCACTGGCACCCAACCTCATTCTGCTTCTATATCTTAAGTTCTCAATAGTAAGTTATCAGAATTGTAATTCTAATAGCTTCTAAAACATCAACAACTGTTTTTAAAAGTTAGTGGAAATTTGTTGAGAATGCTTCTAATGCTATGAAAATTCATATTGAGACAAATTCTGAAATTAAAAAGACATGCCACATCTTAATTTTGATAGCCAAAGTTTACTGTTAGTAAAGAGGGGGTAAAATAAGGTGTGAAAGTAGATGAACACAAAACAATTTTCAAATACATTATTGCAAACTTTTTACCAAGTGTTACTGAAAAATCACTGAGCCAGGCACCAGTGGCACACACCTATAATCCTAGCTACTCTGGAGGCTGAGATCTGAGGGTCATACTTTAAAGCCAGGTCGGGCAGGAAGTCTGTGAGATATTTACCTCCAATAAACCACCAGAAAACCGGAAGTGACCCTGTGGCTCAAGTAGTAGAGCTAATGCCAGCCTTGAGCCAAAAAGCTCAAGGATAAAGACCAAGCCCTAAGTTTAAAAAAAAAAACCAACAAGGACAAAAACAACATTGAAAGTAGGAAGCCCTTAAAAAGACAAAGAGAGGAAAAAAAACACTTAACTGGACATTCCAAATACATCACCTATGGAAAAATTTAAAAGACACAAATACATAAAAACAATTAGCAATTTGTCAAAGTAATTCAATTACATTTTTTTAATTTGCATATAAATTAAAGCCAAAATGTTAGAAATGAGATGTAACTACATCTGCACTTTCAATTCACACTAATCTAATATCTTGCATAGGTTTCAAAGTACATTTAGTTTGCTCATTGAGTAATTACCTTTTACCTTAAACCTTAATGGATAATTCATATGGCTTCTCTTTCTGATAAGGTTTCAATTAATGATATATTTTAACAAATAAAGAGACTGAAAATTTTAATATTAGTGTTTATCATTATTGCTATAATCTATGTATCTAATATCCCCACCTTGGTTAAAAAAATAAAGCCCTACATAATATAGTGATTTCAGCTACCAAAAAAGAGAAAGAAAAAAAGAATTGGTTTATTGATATTCAAACTACAAAAATATAATTTTGAGTAAGAGACTTAAAATATTACTTTCATTCCACCAGTTGTTATATTTTAAACAAGCTGTTTTAACTTTCTGAACCTGTTTTTTCATATAGCAAATACAGATAGCATTTATCAAAAAGTAAAACACAAAGTTTGTATCACCGTTTTCTGAGCAGAGAAAATAATTCCTGAATACAACTGACATAAAGACAGGAGAATCTTCCATAGTGTCACATGTTATTTGTATATTTTAAGATCTAGTGTGAATTAAATCTCACTAAAACCTGATGATCTAAGCAATAAAAGACACAAAAAAGAAATTCCACACTCCTATTTTTACCAACTGATATTTAGTGAAATTTATATATGAAATATGTTTAAAGTTTAAGATAAAAGGAAGACAAGACTTAAAAAGAAATAAAGCAAAAAGTATAATGTAATGATTGTTTTTCAGTTTTAACTACTGACAATATTCAGACAAGGAAATAACATGTTCTAAGATCTATCAAGGGAACCTAAGACTGTTAACAGAAAGACAGCTGAGCAAAATGGTCAATATTCTGTACAGAGAGGCCAGGAGATGAGATTAGTTTCAACTGTGTCACCAACTTATTTGACCTTGGACAGGTCTCTGCTTCAATTTCCTAATCTATAAAATCACTGCTGAAAGTCAGCAAGTATAAGTCAAGCTGGGTTTTCCATGGAAAGGCAATCCAAAGTTGAGGTTAATAGAATAGCTCAGTGGCAACTGCCAGCCTGAGAACCCTGGCTGTGACACAAACCTGTGCAATGCACGCACAAGGCACCAAAGTACAGCTTACCACTACCACTGACTGTTCCCAAGACTCGACTGACACAACAAGTTGTACAAAAACACAGACATGTATAATGTTTAATCTTTCCAAAGGAAGGCACTACCATTGGGCTACAAGACACTATTCAGAGGATCTGTATCAAAAGATCATTTCATGAGATACAGTACAGATACCACAGAAACTTTTAAGACCTACTGTTCTCACCAAAATATCACACTCAAGGTAAAAACAGAACTGCTACTTACATCTTTTGAATCTATTACTACTGACAACAGAATCATGTAACCATAATCCCTAACAAGAAAATTAACTCCTGGAATTAAACACACACACACACACACACACACCACAACAAAACAAAAAAATCTGTTGAACTCGGAACACAAAGTGAACTTCTACCTACTGGAAATGCATAGTTCCAAAGTAATAATCAACCAGTAGAGCTTTACCAGATGTTTTATCAAGCTGTGCAATGGTTAAGTACACCGAAGTATGACGTTTCTCAGAGTTGACCAAGTTCCAAGGACTTGGAAAACGAAGTGTAATGTTGCTTTTGACACAAAAGACACTCATCTGCAGTTTGTTTCCTTGCTGGCACATAGGGGATACTTCCCATTGCAAATTAACTGTCTCTCTTGGTAGGAGACAATTCAGAACTAAAAGGGTCAACCCATAGATGCCCAAACCAGTCCCTCTCATCAGGATCCTTGAAGCCCTTGAAGTGAACCATTTAGAAGAGCACATTTTATCAAATCTACAAGCTTCAGCAGCTTACGTAAAACTGATGTCCACACTTGCAGGGTTCAATACACATAACTCGGTTAACTTGGGTTAAGTAACCAATTGCACCAACTTCGTTCTTCCTCTTAAAGTAGTAAAGGCAAACTCCACTTCTTTAAAAAAAAAAAATCCGTGCCTTTTTTTTTTTTTTGGTCTTGTTTTGTTTCTTGCAACGGACAGTCGACAGGAGAAAAGGGAAACTGATTGGCTCATCATTGTTGCCCTACTTCTTATTTCAGAGCTAAAGGGGAAAACTGTTCCTCAAAGAGTAGCGAGGGAGGGGGTGGGGGAGGGCACAGGCGACACCAGAAGGGCAGACCCTAAGCAGAACTTTATGAATCACCACGATTTACGGGGGGGGGGGTCCACTTCACCAAGCTAACTGTGTGTGGGGGGGGGGGGAACCACCCTTTGGAGCCAAACCCCTTTCCAGGATGCTGCCCGAGAGAGCTCGGAGTTGGAGGCCCAGGAGCCTTGGACGTGATCAGGGGGAACCTCGGTCAAGGCGGAGAAACCAAGGCTGCCACGGAGCAGGTGGGTTAAGTGACACGGAGGGTGAGGAGGGGGCGCCGGCGGACGGAAGCCCCGGCCCCCAGCGGGCTCCCGGCGGGTGCGGAAGCAGGCGAGGCGCGGGCAGCCCGGGCTGCCGGCGCCGGGTCGGGTCAGCACCGCTCCGGCTCGGAGAGAAGAGCACTTGTCGGAGCCCCGCCGTAGCGCGCCGGGGCCCAGGGGCCGGAGGGAGAAGCGGAGCAGCTGCGTTCCCCGACGGGCCGGCGCCGGCCCCTTCCCGGCACCGCAGGTAAACACCGGCCGGCGCGGCCGCTTACCTCCGTGAACATTATTACACCCCGGGGAAGCGAGGTCCTCCCTAGCCTCGCCGCATGGCAACAGCCGTAGCAGCAGCGAAAACTGCCCGGGCCGCTGCCAACGGCGGCAACTGTTCCTTCAATCCTTTCCCGGGCGGCGGCTCTACTCGGCTTCGCTGGCTTCCCCACGGCCCGGCGGCTCGCGGCGGACGCGCCGCCATCTTGGAAGAGCGACGTCCGCGTCTCCCCGCGACGTGCGTTCCCATTGGTCGGCGCGGACGCCGGCGTCTCGTGACCGTCTCCATGGCGCCGGCGCGTGGGGGACGCGGAGGCCGGCGCGGGGTCGCCGCCTCGGCGCCGACGGCGGGGTCCTCGGGACAGGGGATCCGGGACGACGTGGTCGCGCTGGGAGCGGAGGGGAGGACCGGGACTGCGGTCCCGCGGGGCCCGGCGTGCACCGCCGCGGAGGTCGCTGGTCTTCCGCCCCCCGCCGGGGTCGGCCGGCCCTGTCGCAGGCTGGGAACGGCCGAGGCCGAGGCTTTGATTGACGGCGCTGCGCATCTCGCGCCGTTCGGGGACCTGGAGTCCGAATTTCTTCCGAGAAACTTCCATCATCTGGCCTCTCCCCGTCCCCGCGGGGACCCAGAGGCCAGGCTGGAGGTGGGAGGTGGGGGGAGAGCTGGTGGGCTTTCTTCTCCTTGGCTTAGAGAGTCATCTGAAACGGCACCCCGTGCGCTCCCCCCCGCCCCCCCAACTTGGGTCAGAAAGTGTCTGTCGTCTCCACCTGAGCTCACTTGAGTCCTTTCCTGGGGTGCCCATCAGGTTGTGGGGGCGATCTGGGCGTCTCCGCTTTACCCTGAGCCCTGCCCGCCAGATGTAGGACAGTTGGGGACCTGGTGATTGGCCAGTACCTGCCTGACCCTGAGACTTTCGGGTCGTCAACTCACCCCGCCCCTGGGTATAAAGAGACCTTTAAGACCGATCCAAGCAGCTGTGGCTCTTTGGCTTTGTTGGTTTCTTTGGTCCCCGTCACTTGTGTGACCCGAGCGAGTCGCTGACCGGCCGGGGCTCGGCGCGCCGAGGCCCCCGAAGCAGAGTGCTCCATCCACCCGGCTGGGGCGGGGGTGGTTGTGCGGAACTCCTCCTTCGAAGTAGTGCTGACCCGGTCGCCATCTCCAAGTGTACCTGACCGTGGAGACGTTTCCAGAGAAAAATGAAACGTGCCTTTGGCAGCCTGACAAGTCCAGCACTTTCATCACCTGCCCACAAAAGTTAACCAGACTCCGTTTTGGAAAACGGACACTCCCGAGTTCCTGCGCCTTGACTGGAATTTTTCCCCTTGAGTTAACAAGGGTCTTACTTTGCTAGGTTTAGTTTAAAATTTCAAAATGGTAAGTAAAGGTATTACAAACCTTTTATGGATCTTCTTTTGGGATCTGATCTAGGGGGGAAAGGCTCATCTAAAGCATTCGAGCAGACATTGCAGAAAAACTCTGACTTTTCTCCATTTGACTAATTGTAGCGAAAGTTTTGTTGCTTTAACCTACATCTGAGACATAATTGCTAGACCAACACACCCCTAACTTTGGCATTACAGTAAAATATTTTACTAGCATAAGCAGACCATAAATAGGAAGTAAGATTGGAAAATACAAGCTGTACTTCTGTATTGAGGGAATTCAAGAGATATCAGAGACAACAAGGAACCTGGAAAAAGATACTGTTTCAACCTGTAAATAAGAACAGAGAAGGTAGCTCATTAATGTTTAATAAGATACCAACAAGTGAATTCAAACTGTAACTTAGATAGCTAGCTTGAATGTTATTCTAACTCTATTCTCTGCATCTTTTTCCCTTTCTAAAAAGCAACACGTTTTCACCTATTTTGAAGGTGGTACAGTAAATTAAAAGGAGGCATAACTTGAGGTTTGAACAAGCCTATGATATGACATGGATATGCTGTTAATATTTGGAAATTTGTAGAGCTGAGAACAAGACACGATCACTGGCTCTTCTAGTAGCTTCCCAATTTTCTCAGTCCTTTTTGCAACCTAGAAAGTCCTGTGCTAGCTGGCCTCTAGTGTCCTACCCCACCCCCACCTCTCTGACCTTATTTCTGCCAAGCAATTTGTTCCAGTTACACAAGCTGGCTTTCTGCTCCTGTAACAATAGAGCATCCTCTTGCCCTGAGACCTTTGCACTGACTATTATCTCTATCTAGAAAGATCTTTCCATCAAACACAGACTAGGAAGCCTATTCTAATCATCCAGTTCAAAACACTGCCCCTCCCCTAGTATCCTCCCTTCTTTCCTTCATGTTATTTTTTTTTCTTGGTAGTTAAACTTTCTAACACAATTAGTATATTCTTATCAATCTTCCACTAGAATGTAAGCCCCATGAGGATGCTTCTGTTTATTTAGTGATCTCTCCTTTATACTTAAAACACTACATTATCACATGGGGTAGATTGTAAACTCAGTATGCCCAGTAAATGTCTCATGTGGGTGGGAAAATCATTTCTAAAGGATCACATGAAGAAGGCCTAAATAAAACTAATTAAAAATAAAATCCTTTGTGTTGAAAATTAAATTTCCTAAAAATTAGACATTGAAACATTCTGTGTTCTTACCATTATGTGAGCCTAGAGTGCTAGGAAGTTAATGTCTTTCTCTACCATTTTAAAGAGTTGACAGCTGATGTTAATTTACCAGCTAGGAAGGAAACAAAGTGGGGTAAGGTATGTTGTTTCAGAAAGTTATAAAAATAGATGTATGCTGTTAATGGAATTCTTACAGAATCAACTAACATGTTTTAAAAAGATAAGCACCTAATTTAAATGGATTATAATTTCATTCTACATCCTCTTAAAAACATCCTCTTCATATCTTGTTAAAAAGGAAATGTGATGTGATCTGTAATGCTGAGTTCCTTGGCTATCAATAAGAAATTTAAGACAAAGCATGCTATCTAAAGAAGCACATGATAATGTGTCCAGGGCTGTTATTCCAAGAGGTTTGATTCCCAGCCGGCAGTATTGAATCAGCTTAACCCAGGGAAGGATAACAAAAAGAGGTATGACAAAAGTTAATGATGAAGCCGGGCTGAGATGTGAGGATTGCAGTTCAAAGCCAACCTGGGCAGAAAAGCCCATGAGACTTACCTCCAATTAACCACCAGAAAATTGGGAGTGGTGCTGTGGCTCAAGTGGTCGAGTTGAAGAGCTGAAGAGCTGAGGGACAGCCCCCAGGTCCACAAGCCACTGCCTGTGATTTCTAAACCAAGAAAGTAAAGACTGAGAATATCCAGGTTTCCTAATTTTTAAGAACAAATAATTTCTGGATATTCAGGTGTCACATATTGTCCCTAATACTTTCTGGAGAAACTGGAAGTGTATATGACATTACCATTTGTCACATTTAGGTCTTTTGGTGTCATAGGCCATTTTAGTAGTTAAATTCACAAAATACACACATTGCATAGATTGATGTTTTGGTATGTGTATGCAGAATGTCATGATCAAATAGGATAATTGGTATATTTATCTCCTCAAATACTATTGGTGGTGAAACCTTCAAAATCCTAACTTCTAGGTAATTTGAAATACACAATTTGCATATGATTGGCTTAAAAACATCAATTAATTTCTTCAGAACATAGAATTACTACTAATGTCATCTACCACCTGTACTGAACATTAAATAATACTTAAATGATACTATGTGTATATATAGAGTATATATATATATATATACTCTATATATAGTATATATAGTATATGTATACACATTGATACATATATATACGTATATATATGTGTGTGTATATATATAGAGTATATATATATACTCTATATATAGTATATATAGTATATCACATAGAGTATATATAGTATACTGTATATATAGTATATGTATACACATTGATACATATATATACGTATATGTGTGTATATATATATATATATATATATATATATATATTAACCAGGTCCACAGCAAAGCCAGCAACTCAGTATTGGAAGAATACATCAATAACAGAGTAAGTACTCAGAACATGCAACAGCAGAATATCCAATTGTTAGAGCTTTAATAGGGCAATGGTAAGCAGAAATTTTGGCCGCATGGTACTGCTCCAAAGTTTAAGCTTCCATTCACCCAATATATGGTGTTTGTTTTGTTTCTTCTGTGGCCCTTTTTGAGGAAATACTAAGCTAACTCAAGACTGAGGGACAGAGGCAGAAATATTATGACGCCTCTGCTAACAGCAAATACAGCTATAAAGCAATAACATTCAGTCTTCAGTAACAACTCTAAAACATCTATATAAAAGAGACCATATTGTAATGTGTTAAAGTCTGGTATATTTTAAGAATATTACTGCTAGCCACAAGTGACTAGCACTTGTGGCTCATACCTATTATCCTAACTACTCAGGGAGCTTAGACCTGAGAATTGAGGTTGGAAACTAGCCAAGCTGCCCCCAGCACACAAATCCAAGACACTAATCTCCAGATAAAATATTACTAAGTTAATGACACCACAGTGAGAAATTTTAAGAAGCAAGTACTATCAGATTACCAAAAAAATGGATCTACAGCACTTTTCAAACATTCTCAATTTCAGATATTGTAAAAGACCATCACCAATGATTGACACATAAAGATGCATTATACCCATAAAGTGACCATGGAATTGAAATCCATTTTTACATCTATTTAAAGATAATTTAAAAACAAAGCTTCCCCAAAAGCATCTGAATAATTCAATTAAAACCAAGACAAGAGAAAGGCCAACAAACATCATAGATGTCTTCTCCTTAGAAGCCCGGAGAGATTCAGTAACTTGCTGTAGGCCACCTATCAAAGACATATACTATTACTGTTAATGTTGACCTTTTATCCCTAGACTGAAACTGAGTGTTTATAAAGTTTCTCCATTGGCGAGCTAACCACACATCTTCTAATACTATTCAGTTTTGATACTATTCAACAAAGTACTGTGCAGCCCCGATTTGGAGAGCTGAGACTAATGTACTCTTTTCATGGTAAAGTACATAAATTATTTGAAATTCTTTTGCATAACAGTTAACTTCACCATGTTTTGTATATTCAGTCATTTGTATGAATATGGGAATGTAAGTGTTTTATTCTCTAGATAGTAGTCCAATACTAGTTTATCTTATTTTTCAATTTATCCCTAAAGCTTTATACCCTCTAACATATTTTCA